CACAACCCCTAAAGACTAGCAATTTTACCAAGAAATGTCAATGTCTGGATAAAATTGATATTTAAAAGTTAAGTAATCTTTTCATATAGTGTGTGTGTGTGTGTGTGTGCACATGTTTGTGTACACACACATTACATATATAACTATAAAATATAGTTTGTGTGTATATATATATATATATATATATATATATATATATATATATATAGCTAAAAGATAACATAGGCTTAACACACACATCCCATTCCCAGCAATCAATAAAACTGTCAAAATGGCCAAGGAGGTAATTCTTAAAGTCAGGAATCTCCCATCCTCTATCTTAAAAACAACTTGAAAGAGGCCGTTTGACCAACATAAGGACTGACCAAAATTAATGATAAAAAAACAAATTAAAAACTAGAGATAAAGAAAAAGTTTACTTTCTTCAGAAACAGTCATTCACTGCTACTAACAAACAGGGATTTTTTTTCTCCTGATGATGGCCATGTTGGCCAAAACTAGTCAAGGAACCTAATTGAAATAATAAAACAAAAAATATTAATATACAACCAAGTGTGTCTGAAAATTTTATATCATCAAAGATGAGAAAATATCTGTGTGATCCATCTTTCATTAGGCTAACGTGGTTTGTCAGCCACATCATTGAAATGTAATTCCCACTGCCTAACTGTGCTTACATCCCGTGTTCGATCTCTGTAAATATCTACCAATCATTAATGAATGTCAACAGTTGAAATGACAAAAATAAATGACATACATTTACTTTGATATTTCATATCAGATACACATTCACAAAACTGCTATGCAGTTGATATCTTTGACAAGACAACAAAAATAATCATTGGTTATTAGTGGGAAGTTTCAACCTCTACTGTCTTATCAGCAAAATCAATCTCTGACAGTAATAGAATGAGTGTATATGCACATTTGAGTGCATACACACTTGCACATCCTGATGAATCATGTTTTCAGCATCTCTAACATGATATGCATGCTCTTGATGTGTTCTGTATAGAATTGTATACATATTTATATGCCTTTATCATCAACCTTCCTAACCCCTCCCTCTAAAAATGCCATGCTATAAGACTGAAAAAAAGAGGAGAGGGAATTCAGCTCAATAGACAAGTAAAGGTTATCTGAAAGTGAATGTTCTGATTCACTTGATAGGAATGTCTATAATGCCAAGGCAACATTGATAAGGTGATAGCACCCCCAGCCCAAGACAGCAGGCCAACATTTAGTAGGTAAGCAAAGAGATGAACACTCGAGCTGATTGGTTTCTTATGAACTCAACAGTTATTGCACTTACTGATTACTTATAACAGTGAGCCAGACAAACAAGTGGAGAGAGGTGGAACAGAAATTCTCAGGAAATTCAAACAGATAAACAATTCAAAATTGTAACAAACTGACCAGACTTTAGCAGAAAAGAATATGCAAGGATTTTCTTTCCATTACTTTTTTTTTTTTAACTGTTATAACATTATTCTACAAGTTGTTCAAGATGAAAATATTTTCATCTATACTGTTTTTATCATTATATTTTGGCCAACGTGTTCTTTGGACTTCCTCATGTAAAATTAACTTCTGTGATTGTTTTTCTTTTTTCCAAGTTTTCAAATGTGTTGATATTTGACTTTTTTTTTTTTTTTTGGAAAGGTACACTGAAATCTAAATGCACATTGGTATATCAAAAGAAGCCTTTCAAAAGCTAAGCAAAGTATTAAGAAACAGAAAAATTTCATTAGAAACAAAGAAAAGGGTACAGAACTGTTTATATAATATCAGTCCTCCTATATGCCAGTAAATGCTGGACAATCTCCTCACAGATGAAAAAGACTCTTGAAACAACAGAAATGTGGTTCTACAGAACAATGCTGAGAATTCTATACAAGCAATAATGAAGTTTTAGAAAAAATGAAAATAAAGGACACAGAAAATTAACATCAGAAAGAGATAGCTGAAATTTCTTAGGCACATAATGAGGAAAGAGGGCTTGGAAAATTTGATACTCACAGGACATACTGAAGGCAAGAGGAGCAGAGGAAAAATGCATAATCTACCTAGTGAGCTTGAGTAAATGGATGGCAAAACAAGTGATTGTATAGATCAAAAATTATCTGCACTTTCGCCATGATATATCTTTAGACAAGAGTGTGGATAATTTTTGACTTTTGACTCGTAGAAAGCTAAAGTTGGTTGGTTATTTTAGTTTAGTGGTATATCAACCTCTGTAAGTTATTTGATGCTGAAATTTAAATGTTTTGTACACAATTGTATTTTTAGTGTGGAGATAATAATGGTTGGTGTAATACAAGTCCTGCTAATTAACCCATAGCTGGGGGAGAAGAGGTGGATTCATACCTTCACCAATGGTATTTGTATTTAAATGAATGACAAACCTGATTGGAACTGGAACTTGGCTCTGATTTCCAATCCTAAGCTATTATCCATTACACACACACACACACACACACACACACACACACTCTTAGAGATATGTCTAAGTGGTCATCCATCTAGGTACTGACAATGCTTGATACTGCTTAACCTAAGTGATCATCCGGAAACCGGTGTTTCAGTGTGATATGGCCATAAGCTTTTATTTGCTGGAAAAGTACTTTATAACAAATTCTCTCATATCAAAATAAACATGAAACATTAAGAATGAAACACACTCCCTAAGAAGTGATTGCAATTGTCTCTTACATTTTACACAAGTTCCTTATATCATTTACTTTTCAAGTGTATTTAAAAATAAGCTGAATAATGTCTGACTGATAAAACTTCATATAAAAGTAAATTTTCAATATGATGGATGACCTTATTCACTATAAAGATACTTGTAATTAAGGGTTTTTCTATGATAACACAAGTTACACTTTGCTTAAGAAATATTCATCAAAGAAACAATTTAAAAAAAAAGTTCAGTTGTGAACAACAAAATATCAGAAGGTTTTATATCACACAACTTTTCCAGTTTTAAAATATGTAGACACAGCAATTATTAAGACTGAGTGTGTGTTGTCTATACAAGTTACACAAGAAAGTTAAGAATTAATACAAAGATATTTACTTCCCTCTAATATGAAGAATACTGCAAAATGTATTAATGTTGAAAAAGCAACTTGATTGACATGAAATATCTTCTTTTTTCTGTTTAAGCATTCAACCCCAAGCAAGGCGGGAAGCCACTAGCACACAAGGGGTTACAGAGAGTTGGAGCTAGAGCAAAGAGGAGTGATAGAGGAAAGGATTAAGAGAAGGATAGGAGATAGATCAGGGCATCTGGAGACGTTGATTGACATTAGATTTGAATAGTTGAAGATTATAGCTATCAGGGAAACAGGAAGAGGTGGGGGAGATCCACAGGCGAGAGGTGCGAGACATGAAACTATTGGAGTAGAAGAGACGGGAGCGAGATGCCAGCCTAGTAGAATGCTTAAATTCATGAAGTTTGGGAACCAGCGAAAGCAGCTCCTCGGAGCAATTACCATGAAAGTATTTGTAAAACAGACAGAGGGAGGCGACGGCACATCTGTGAGAGAGTGACTGCAGACACAGATGCCAGATCAGGGCCAATTACATTGCATATCTTATCAAGAACCTCCAAAGTTCAAACACAAAAGCATAAATTTATTAATAAACTAAATGAACTATTGAACAGTATACTAGCATATCAATATAGAAGAATGGTCTGAACATAATGCTTCTAATTTATACATGCTTCCCCAATCACTACAATCTTCAAATATAGGGTCAACTGTTATCTATCGTACATATTCTCATAATCTACAAATTTTACATCCATAAAAAACCATTCAGTAATGCTCCAGTGGCTTTTGGATCTTAGATGAACAATAACATTAAAACAAGAGTCTGTTTACACTGTTATCACTAACCTTGTAATTTGTAATTCTCATGTCATTATAACAGATATATAAAATATACCCAAAATTAATACAGCCATGCTTAAAAAAACAAAAAACAAAAAAAAACAACAACACTTGTGTAGAGGATTCTTCAGTTAATGGAAAAGAGATTTGAGGATTTTCTCTTGTTTTTTTTTTTTTTAACTAAATAGAGTGCCTTCCCATTTTTATTGCAATGTGTCATATTTTACAAAAATCATTTCAAACTAGACAAATTGAAAAGGCAATGCTGAATAAAATGCTCATTCAAAATTTATTCAACCAAAAGTATATCCTTGTTCCATCCTCCTCCAGGATGTAAGTGATCAGGAATCTCCACAGTTTCCCTTTCTTTAATAGTTATATAATTGTGTATTGCTATGACTGTGTTTGGTTAAGATAATGGAGTGGTTTCCAGTTGCCTTCTTAAGTTTTTAATTCACAGTTGTCCATCTAGACGAGATAAAAACCAAGGCTAGAGAGTCTAGACCAGTGATATTCAACACAGGCTTGAGAAATATTTTAAATGGGCCTGGAGACACCAGAAGCAGTGTAGTTATTGGTCAGGATTTATATTTTCTACTATATTTTGCTTTTATAAATAAAATCTATTTCTTGTTACATGGAATTTCTATTTGTGATTATGTAGGCCCAAAATTTTTTTAATGCCAAAAATGGGCCACAAGAAAGAAAAGGTTGAGACACACCATCAGACTACCCTGTTAGTTAACCCAGAAGTGAGATGGGGAGAATGGAGGGATTTAGATATTTTCCATGAGCATTAGTGTGAAGTGAGCACAAAATGTCTCAGCCAGAATTTGAACCCTGATGGCAGATTCCATTTTTTCCTTTTTAATGCTGTTAACTGTTAGTTCACTTACATCTCCTCAACTAAAGAAACTCAATATCAAACAAAGGATAAAGAAGTAATGAATCTCAGTGCCATGAGTTCCAGGTGCCATAAATTCCAGAGTTCAGGCATTTTGGTTTATACCCATGCCAAACATTTTCACAAACACCTCATTTATTGAAGAAAATTATGGGGGCTTGAGATGCAAACTTGAGACATTATTTGCAATATCAAACCAAGAGCATAGTAATGCATCTGAAGGTTCTTAATGACTGCCTTTGTCTTGAAAGGATTGTACTGAAAGAAAAAGCTAAGAGAAAAAGAAAAAAAAGATGGAATGAAAACATATTTACAAGAATGAGATATTTCGTGAAGTAACAATCACTCACTTGACACAATAAAAAAAAAGATAATGATTACTTATTCATTGGAAAGAGAAATGAAATGAAAGTGTGCAAGGTAAAGAAATGGTTATCAACAAATCAAGTTTGAATTTCTGTTAAGGCAGATTGCATTCACTTGAAAACGTTAATGGCCTAGGAAAAGTATGAATTGAAAACCTTGCCCTCTGTAGTTACACATTTTGTCTGGTTTACATTCCTCTCCAGTCTTTTGAACTGAAATAGAGGTTTATCTTTTGTTTCCTGTTTAGGATTGAGTTTCCAGTTCCTTCTCCTAAAGTCATCTCATTTTCTTTCATTCCTAGTAGCCTCTTGTGTCTTAGTGGCATCATTGCCTTACTTAGAGTGAATTCATTAAACAAAAAAAAATATCATTGGATATCTTGAAAGTAAAAAAAAAAATTTCATCATTGGCATACTACAACAGTTGACAAAGAGCACAGATGAGTAAGTACACAGATAAAACACACACTCATGATATATCTTAATATATTTACGTGATATATCTTAATAGATTGACATGATATATCTTAATAATAGACTTTTATCTGTTAAGAAGGATGTGATGGTAATGTAGTGGTTAGTGGATCAGAAAGAGAAATTGGTTAGTTGATTTCAAATTCCAGCTGAGTTTGTCATATTCACTTTCAAACAAATACCCTTGGGAAATGTATGAATCAAACTCTTCTCCCTACCAGCTATGGGTTAAATAGCTGGGTAGACTGGGTTCTCTAACTGTAGTTGACAACCAGTTTAAAGATGGTAACTTGATTAAAAAAAAAAAAAGAAAATCCCTCAGCAGCCTGTGGAGATGGGTTTGCCCATCCAAAATGCCAAATGACTGACTGAAATTCTTAAGTCATATGAGTTGCGCAATTTACCATAAGCAAAGGTAGCATCTACGATTTTTTTTCTGTTAACGTTTAGCACTCTGCATTTTCTACTGTTTTCTTTTTCAATGCCTCCCAATGGCAGTATCCTTATTGTTAATTTCATTCAATGTTGTTTTCTGTTGCCATAGCAGGATATGACAACACAACTATGAAATTCAAACACCTTATTGTTCAGGGATCAGAGTCACCTTCAGTGGCAGGATAAACTTTTTGTACAGCAAATGAAGTCACATACAGAGTGATAACGGTTAAGAAAAAAATACTTTTCATATATCTTAATTACAGCCTTATATCTGTGAACAAGGCCTAATTTTAGTTTTAACTTATTTTGCCTAGAAATGTTTCTTCCTGTATAAAAGCAAGGCTGATGCTCTCCTAAATATTTTGGTAAAATATGACCATACAGGTATGTTAATCTGGCAACAACAGATGCCACCATGTGGCAGCAATAAGGGGCTCAATGAACAGAGCTGGAAAACAAAATATAAACAATAAAAAGGAAAGAATCTATTAAAAATGAGGCTGTCGACACATGGCATGCCTTGGTTCTGATATCACAAGCATGGCTGCTAAATGTAGCCAAAAATGAAAACATAAAACAAAAACATTATTGCCTCTGCATTCTCTATAACCAAAAGTCAAATAACAATAGCTGTTTGAATGCTTTGCCTTATGAGGATTATATCAAAAGCTAATTTATCACTTCTCACAAGCGCTTTTAACTTCTGGACATGTTTTGCAAACATGTTTCTGGATACATCTTATACACAATTCCCTCCTATTTACAGTACTTGTGAGCTCTCCTACATTTTAAGACTAAATACCAGCCATTAAGCAAAAGAAGTAGATAGGCTTTGCTCAAGGAGTAAGTTTCATTATCACAGTATGCTTCAATGATGGTAACCTTGGAGAATCTCCATTTTCTATTAGCTGTAAAGTACAATAAAGGAGGATGACATTTTGCAATCAAAAATGGATGCTTCATCATATTTCTAATGAATATTAACATAAAAAAGAAGCAAAACAAAGAGAAAATAATCAACTAATCTATGCATACCGCAACAAAAGAAAAAGAAATTTGTCTAATAAAAGCAAAATCTTCTCTTTATAAGAAAAGTATCCAATCATTTAATGGAAAAAAAGGTGCCTTAGTTCTTTTCAAAGAACTCCCTTTAGGAACTCACTTTTCCCAGAATTCTTTGCAATTTTTAAACTCCTCTTTCAGGGTTGCCATTAGTGAGCTTATTTTATTTTAAATTTCAGCTGCAACATTTCAGTGGTGATTGTAGCTTTGAGAAAAGACAGAAGTTGCAGAGAGCCAAATCTAGACTGGAGGGGTGGGGACACTGACAGATTTTTGGGTGATGTGATATTTTACAAAACACCCTACACATGATATAAATAATTTAGTTGCCCAGTCATTGTGGATGCAACAGTTACATAGTAAACACACTCACTCAATAGTATTCTACTACCAACTAAGTAACACCAAAAGAGTGTGTGAGTGTGTGTGTGTGTTCATGTATAGATCATAAGGTCTCTTATGATTTGTTGGTTTTTAAGTTACATCAAGGTCATGCAAAGCAGTCCCCAAATATTCAAAATAGCTTGATACATTCCGGACAGGTTATATAAGAATAAAACCAAAGGAATTTTATGGTCAAACATGAATAAAAAATAAATAAATAAATAAATCATTTGAGAATAACTGATAATGATGATCAATCATTTGTTTCATAAAAAAAAAAAAGACATTATTGATCAAAATTACAATCACATTGATCATATTTAAAATCACATAAAAACTGATTAACTATGACCAATGCAAACAGAATTTTAAATATTCATGTAAGCCAAGAATAAACTTAAAGTGGCCAATGGCTTGGTGCCAGGATCAGTAATGGATTTAAAGCCTTTTGTTTGCATATTTTCTGATGGCCTGCTGTGAGGGTAGGAAAGAAATTACTCAAGCACCAACACAAAAAAGTGATAACTGCAAATTTAGCACCAAATAATCAGAAACAATACTATAGGTGAGCTTTCCTTTTTGTTTATGGGGGAGAAAAAAGCCTCATGATTAAAAGAACAGCAAACTGAACTTTATGTAAGTACAGATTGTGTATATGCATGCTCTTATTTACAGTCAAACTCACATCCATAGGCTGAAAGTGCAGATAATTATGCAAATCCTGACACATCTCTCTTTATATATATATATATATATATATATATATATATATATATACATACACATACATACACACACACATTAAATAATAGTTTCAGACTATTATTTTTTTAGTGGCAGTGTATTTTGGTCCTGAGCCTGACCTTTAAGGTCAGATTGTAGATGAAACAGGGATGTTGATTTTGATGGGCTGAGCTGAATGTTGGAATGTTAGAAAGATACAAAGTTATTTCATGGAGTGAAGTTTTTACATGTTGAAGAATGAGACGTGGTTATTTCCTGCTTTGGGAAAACTGCTCCCCAGTGAGGTGGGATAGCAACCCCACTGGCTAGTTAAAAGATGTACACATTGACATGTTTAATAAAATAGATAAGTTTTCAAATTCCCTTTGTTGATGTCTCTTCCATCTCCAGACTTCAAAAACATTTTGAAACAGCCGAGAGAGAAGAATGCAACTTTGTTGTGGAAGTGACCCCGTCAAGCAAAAGGCCTCCCCAGAAAAGAGGGGGGTATACAACATACATATGTTTGCTTATTTGTTCATTATATACAGCCAAACTCTTTCAAGTACAGTCCTCAAATTTGGTGTGCATAATTATTGGATCCAGAAGAAAGTTTTCATTATTTTTTTTTTTTTGTTCTTTATGGAAAAAGTGTTTCTATGCCACTTGTCTGTAATAAAAACATCTTTTGTAATAATAATAAACATCATTAAATACAGGATTATAATTTGTCTCATTGTCAAGATAAAACATTTGTATGCTTTATAAAAGCAATTTAAAAAAAAAAAAAATTTTTCTTTGAAATGTTTTCCAACATTTTGCAGCATTTCTACATTGATGATATACCAGGGAATCTATTTTATTTTGCTTTTATGCTAGTCCATGACCAATGTTTGTTAATGTGAATGATGACAATAACAAAGGTATTACAAAACACACATTTCAAAGAAATGTCTATCCATTTCTTTCACTTTAGCATAAGGAATTATAATGGTACTAATTTTCATCTCTCTCACTGACATCATATATATATATATATATATATATATATATATATATATATATATATATATATATATAATCTCCAGCAGTTGGGTATAACTTGACTGACAGTTTTACCAGTTCACCATTTCAGTATGAAGAAAATCATTCTGCTGTCAAGTCTAAGAGTACAGTTAGTTATAAACCAGCTGCAATCTAAGTCTTGACCACTTACTCACCATAGACTGGTATTTCAACTAGTGTATTATATATATATATATATTTGTAATTTATGCCTCAGTACCCTTGGCAGATTAAATGAGTATAAGTCTGCCTATTGGAAAGAAGGTGGAAAGCTAAGGGAGGAAACAGGAGAAAGAAAGTTAAAAAAAAAAAACAAAAGAAGAAAAAAAGAGAGATGAAAATTGTTGTAAAATGAGATTCAGCAAGAGCTGAAAATATACAGGAAAATAAATGGGGGAGAAATGATTGAAGGAAAAGTAATGGAGGAAAATGAATGACAGATGAACAAAAATTGGAATTATAAGGCAACAGATATCAGTGAAAGAGAGAAATAAATACAAATAAAATTTCAACTCAAACATCTATATTGGTTATTATCCTTTGATCTGATGAAAAAAAATTGGTGGGGGGGGGTTGTACATGTTGTTGAAAATATGACAAAATTGTTCCTTTTAACCTCACCAATTGATGGATAAGCTGGTATTTTTGCTTCTATCCAAAAATGAGAGATCACATTATTGCTGACATTCCCAAAGGCAGCAAGAGCATGAGAGAGTGCACAAAAAGAAGAGGTTAACAGAACTGCACTGGATTAGAGTTCTTAAAGAAGGTAAAAGGAATGCAATGACTATGTTTAC